GTTATTTTTCTTTAAAACAATTCTGTTATGGTTAAAAAAAAAATGGTTAAATAAAGATTTAATTCGAAGTCTGTGTTTGTGTTTTTTATTAAAATTAAATCATTTAGCAATATTATAAAAAGTCCAGGCAGAGCTGCACATAAAATATGGTTTCAAATCTTTTCAATAATTATCGATATCGATCAATACGCATTTTTTTTATCGATAAGCTTTTTTTCTATATCGCCCAGCCCTAGTTTCACTAGTTGTATATAAGGGAACAAGCGTACCCTGGATTATGCGTTGCATAAACAAATAGCAGGTCGTTAACACCGGTAATTGCCCACAACTAATATATATAAATATATATAACCCTGCAACTAGAGAGACATATATATATATATATATATATATAACTATAGATTTTGGCTTTCCGCTGTAATAACAAGGATAAACAAATCTGGTTTGAGGTTTTATTGTTTTCATGGTTTTAAATGCTCCTTCATGCAGACTTTACTGCTGCATGTCAAAAGAAAAAAAAAGTTCTTCTAACTCATTTGCATGTTTTTCTTTGTTTATTTTTTACACCATCTGCAATACTCTCTTCTGTGTAGCAGCGAACGTAATGTAGGTATTATACTTAAGGGATTGCTGCAAATTGAACCACAGAATGCAGTCGGATGCCTACTGTCGTTACATGCTCATTCAGGAAGATAATCCTTCAAAGTCATCCATGTGATGCAAACAGCTGGGCTTTCTTCGAAAAAAAACATTTTAAAAATCTGACTGGGTGATTTGATGGATTGGAGATACAGTTAGGAAGTTGTGTTTTTTTGCAAATGCAGTTTATTCTCCAGCATTGGTCCAATTAGAGGTAAATGCATTCATAGATAATTTGCTCTCCTCTTGTACTTACTGGATCCTTACAGACTCTGAAGTTGTTTGTTTTGTAATGAGTCTCCTTAAAGGTATAGTGGAGGATGTTCTTTTTCCAGGTGGATCATCAAAATAGGTGGTCCTCTTAATTGTCAATCATTCTGGTGATATGTTTACGTAAGGCCATCCTACGTGCTCGTCCCCATTTTCAATTACAGGTGGTTAGTCTAACATAGTGGAAAAATTGCAAATCTTCTTTTGGAAAGTAAGCTTGTATGAGCGAAGCAAACAGCTACTTTTAAACAGAGCGTACACGAGATGAAATGGGCTTATTTTTGTATGCAATAACTGGAGATTATTTTATTATTGTTTTAAAAAAGAAAAGAAAAGAATACATTTTGGTACCTGTGAGTTTGAATTGTTGCCAGATCAAATTAACAGTCAGATCCGTGAGAGTTGGGATGAATGATAAAAACGGAGCATCTTCTCTCTATAACTCTGCCTATCTGTTATTGTCTGAAGACTTGTTTTCTCTTTCTGCAGCTTAATGAACAGCAGACATGTTTCATAGTTTAATAATTTATTTCTCATAGATTTCAGATTTCTTTAACTATACTGGGCCTCTTAATTCATTTCCCTCTCTAACCCTGATACTCTAACTTTGGTTTTTTAGCCCCTTTAGTTTTCTAATGATGCTGCCACCTGTGGCCAAAACACAGAACTGCAGCACACCTTTGCTCGTTCTCATAGCAAATGCTCATACTTGACTTTTTTTTTTTTTCTTTTTGAACTTTTTTTTAATACTCTTTTAACCTTACGTGGAGGAGCCATTGGTGTCTAATAAACTGGATGCAAATCTCTTCTGAGTATTCACAAAGTACATCTTGTATGGCTTAGATTTATAGTTTAGGTTTATAGATGCACTGAGGTGTCAGTCTGCTTCTCAAATGATAATTTAGTCATATATCATAAGTAGCAGCTCCTGTACCAATGAGGGGCTGACTTTGCAGCTGCATGTTTCCCTGATTCTTTCATTTTTTTTTCCAACAATGCAGTCTCTTATAGTTTAGACAAAGTACCTCTACTAATGGATTCAAGCACATTTCCACAGCTCTTTCGAGGCATGCCGCCACTGCAATGATCTCCTGATCTCCAAGTTTGACCAAGCAGCTGATCTTATTTGATCTTTGAGGATCTTTGAACTCATTTTGGTCCAACGTGTCCGAATTAGACTTTAGTTTTCACTGCAATAGTTTGGATAATTTTTATTTTATTTATTTTTTTTGCTGTTTGAGACCATTTTTCTCCCTGTAAAGTGCTTTTATTCTCTTAAGAACAAGCAGGGATTGCGTTTTCTCTCCCGTGATGAGATCTAATTTTTAAAAGGTACCTTTGCCTTTGATTATCTATTGGAGTTGATTTGAGATCCCTGTGATAACTGGCTGCTTTTTAAAGAAAAGATTTATCTGGCTTTGCAGGTTTTTTTATGTCCAAGTCACAATTGCTTTCAGAGTTCGTTTGTTGTGAATCTGAAGAAAATTAAAGTTGCCTTACAGACCTGTTATCACTTAGGAGAACTTTTTTACCAAATCCCCTTGCAATTCCCCGTTATTGATTGGACGTCTGCTTTAGTAGAAGGAACCATCAGACCCTCAAGCCGTATCTCTGGTTTCCTCCTCCTCAGATGTGCACGGATTGTCACCGACCGGGTGCAACCATCGGCTGTGAGGTCAAGACGTGCCGGAGGACGTATCACTATTATTGTGCAGTGAAAGACAAAGCCCAGATCAAAGAGAACCCGTCGCAGGGGATTTATCTGTGAGTCGCTTTAGTTCTGGACTCTTTCTGCAGAGATAAAAGCAGATTGCTTTTCCTCTGCAAATCCACAACGATTTCCTGCTCATATTTGACAGCGGCAGGTTTGCTTGATCTTACTTAATTCCTTCTTTGTGTTTTTTACCGCAGTATTTACTGTCGCAAACATCGGGATGCGTCACAGGATGATATTCAAGGTAAATCCTGAGCCTGCTTTCTGTTATATGATTGAGGCATGAGATCTAAAATGTCTGCGTACAAACGTTTGATTGCGACTGTTTTATTAGATGAAGAGGAAGGCGTGGCCAACGACTCAGACTCATCGCCTCCACAAAGCCGGGGCCGGGGGAGATTTGAGAAAAGCAGAGCTAAGGTGGCCTCTCGAGGCCAGTCGGAAGAAACCCGCTCCACTTCGTCCTCGCAGGCCGCAGACGAGGAGAGCTCCTCCCATGTAAACACAGTCAGCAGCGTTGGCTCAATTTCTTCGATTTGGTGTTAATAAACTTGGCTAATGTTTTGAGGGCTGTGTTTTAGCGGGACAGGTCCCCACTTCGTGCAAGTCCTGGCGATGGTGGCCAGCGATGTGGCTTCTGCCACGCAGGCGAGGAGGAAAACGAAACAAGAGGCGTCCTGCACACAGATAACTCCAAGAAGGTGGCTGCGCACTACAAGTGCATGGTAGGATGCACACACTGCTGAATGCTTTAGAGGTTTTCTTTGGGGGGATTCTGTTTCATTCAAAATGTATTTCTTTTTTTCTTTCTGTGAACTGAAAGGTAAATGATGCATTGTTTGATGCATCTTTTCCAAATAAACATTAGAAATGTCTCAATGTATTCAGCTTTACTGGGATTTTCCTGCAGATGCAGCTGCACATGTTTTAGCTTTTTCTTCAGCACTTTGCCTGTTCTTTATTACAGAATTATTCCACCTCATTCTGACCACATGGAGAACATCTGTTGACATAAAATCTTTAACTCTTGCTATTTTAATTCTAGTTTTCCTCCTGCCATAACAAAGCAGATCTGACCTGTCGGTTTGGGTCTCGGTTCCGACTTTAAAGAGCCACATTATTATGATGGTTATTTGAAATAAAAGACACAACTTAGTGTTTGTGGACCACATCAGAATCTCAGGAAACACATCAAAGGTTGTAAATGGGAAATAGTTTAGCGGGATGTTTTATATTTCTGATGATCTCGGATGTTTTGCAGCTTTTCTCCTCGGGGACGGTGCAGCTTACCACCACATCGCGGGCTGAATTTGGAAACTTTGATGTAAAAACAGTCATCCAGGAAATCAAAAGAGGCAAAAGAATGGTGGGAACTTTAAAACAAAAGTAGTTATTGAAATTAAAATGTACTGCCTGATTTCATTTGTATATAAGTTTACTATTTTTGTTTCTTCCAGAAATGCACACTTTGCAGTCAGCTGGGTGCTACTATTGGGTGTGAAATTAAAGCCTGTGTGAAGACCTACCATTATCATTGCGGGCTGCAGGACAAGGCCAAGTACATAGAAAACATGGCCCGCGGTATTTACAAGTGAGCTCCAGATCATCTAAAGCATGAATTTAATGCATGAAGTGTTATTGTTGTATTATTGATGGTTGCATGGTCAGGTTTTGCAGGAAAGCTAAAAGTTTTCTGTAAAATTAGCAGAAAAATGTATTAAGGAAAGTTTGCACAAACTGAAAAGCCTCCAGACTGGTGCTGAAGGTTGAGTCTCTTCAGTGTGTGTGAATGTTTGTTAAAGACTAAACTATATTCATCTAGGAAAGTCTGCTTAGCGTGGGTAACAAACCACACCCTGGGTACTTTAGCTGCATTTTAGAGGGTTTATTTTTAATCATAGTTGTGTGCAATAACAACCCCTGCAGGCAGCAAGCAGTTAGGGAAGCACATCTGCTTCTTCACCTGTAGAACTATGTGGTCGGGTTTATCTGGAGTTCAGCAATATCTGTCTGAAGGTCAACAGTTCATGAAAAAAAAAAAAATCTCTTTAGTTTGAAGAAAAAAAGGATGAAAACAACCTGGATGCGTTTCTTACCAATTAAAAAAGATAATCCTATACTTCCATGCATGATTATGTATGTGTGTGGTGTGTACACCATCAACTGCATTGTTTTATGCTTTGCATCTGGGCTTTGTTTGCATTTTTTTTCTCTTTTCTTTTTTGTGTATATGTGTGTTTGTTTATCTGTATGTTCTAAACTTTAAAAACTTAAAATAAAAATTATTAAAAAAAATAAATTTAAAAAAAAGATAATCCTAATCTGAGCCTTCCTGCTTCCTGGTATAGTTTTATAATTACTGGCTGTCAATTCAGGGTAATGTTTTTTTTTAATATTTTCTATCTGATTAATCAATATGAAATTCAAGCTGTGAACCACATTAGCAAAAACAGACGATGAAATATAACACTTCATGTCAGCAGCAAGTGGTTTTCCACAGTGAGTTAGTTCATCAGTAAAAAGACAACATCTAAGAGGAGAAAGTTATTAACTGATTTCACTCTGAGTCATGGAAACCCAAGGAGTGGATTGGCAGAAAAACTCAAAATCCAAAATCAAAAGGAAACTAAGATTAGTTGATCAATCGATTAATCAGACCAGCCCCAATCTAAGCAAATGTGTTGAAATGCTTTTTCTATTTTTTCTGAGGGTATTAAATATACCTTCATCGCTGGCCACCATCGCCAGGACTTGCACGAAGTGAGGACCTGTCTCACTAAAACACAGCCCTAAAATATTTAATAGTCCTTAAATATACAAATAATAAATAGAACAGGTTCTGCTTTTTATTGTTCTGTTAAGGGCAGCAGTTTAAACGGCCCACTTAGAGACCTTTCAGTGACATCCTCTGCTCCCCTCTGTGAGAACAATCTGCAGCTTTAAACTCAAACACTCGCTCTCAAAACCGTTAGAAAGAAAACATCCGACTATAATAAAATGAACACTTGAATGTTCTACATTAATATATACTTTAATATATTAAGAAAATTAAGTTTTTATTTTCCTGAGCAGCTAGCCTAAATGACATGAAAAATATTTTTGTTTTTATTCTCAGGATGTTATTATTGCCTTTGTCTCTGGTTGGTTTTAAGATAAAGGAAGTCCCTGGAAGTCATGTGAATCTATATCAAAACATCTGCAGTAAAATGATAAAAATACATTACAGGCATTTTTTTGGCAGAAACTAAATAAAGTGTTTCAAGTTTATTCAAATATATATTAATATAGAACATCTAAGTATTAATTTCAGTCTTTTTTTATTTTATTTATCCTGCTATTTGGTTTAGTAATCCCTCCAATATGCAGTATTTTGAGTATTTTTCAGGTTTACTTTGATCATTGAAAAGCCACGTCTTTAATTGGCTGGTGGTTTTGTTTTTTTACGTATAGTGTTACAAGTTGTGAGTGCAGAGAGGGAGCCGAGCACGGGTTGTCAGAATGGATCAAATGCAGAGCAGACCGGTTTTGAGCGAGGATGTGTGATTTTAAATGGCTGCATGTCGTTCTGACTGCACCCTCAGTTCGCTGGCACAAAAATGACGCCGTGCTGCAGGTCCCTTGTGTTTTACTAACCTTTGTCTTCTTTTTGTTCTTAGACTCTATTGTAAGAACCACAGCGGGAACGAAGAGAGGGATGAGGAGGACGAGGAGAGAGAGAACCGCAGCAGAGAGAGGGCAGCGACTGACCATGGAGGAACAGCATCAACGCAACTTAACGGCAACTAGGTGGGGCTGCTGGCTTAGGGATTACTATCAGAGTACAAACTCTGCTCTAGATTGGCTCAGAGATTACTATCAGAGTACAAACTCTGCTCTAGATTGGCTCAGAGGTTATTGCAACAATCCAATTTAAAAAGTCACACACAACCATAGTGGTATTTTTGTAAGTGTTTATTTGGAGTTTTTGTTAAAATTATGGGTAATAGATCATGACAACCACAAAATACTTTTTTTCCCCTTAAAGATTAAAGACCAATAGAATAGAAAAAGGATAGCTGCTGCTTTAAAGGTGCCTGTAAACAAAATCTGTTATTTAGTGCTGGGGAAAACAACTGATTGCATATCTGCACATATCTCAGTAATATTAGAAGCAGATATTGTATTTTAAGGTTCTGTTTTTATGAACATAAATCCAATACAATATGCAAATACTTTAGAAATAAAGTACTTTTTAATGAGTATTTACACATGGGGATGTTGACACAAACATGCAGATAATCAAAAGCAAACCTGAAGCAATCAGCTGCACACAGGATATTTGTTTAAGAAATAAAGTTACCATGTGAGCATGTTTTGGTTTGCAAAAAGGACGTTTAACCTGCCAACAGCTTCACATGTAGATATAGTTAGATTGCTGACGGAGCTTGGAAACTCAGGCTTATGTTTCACATAGACTTCATGTTTCTCCACCACCATTAAAAAATAGACTCTTGTTTTTGACGAACCGCAACAAGGTGGGAATCCTGTATTAACTAGAACAGTTTCGGCTTTAGTTGGAGAGAAACAGGCTAAGGATGCAGAGATCCTCTCTGCTAACCGAGCTCCTACCCACTGGTAGGTGGAGAAACAACCGGATTACGGAGATCTAAAATTAATTTTTAGAAATCCAGAATATGTATTTTAGATGGGAGTAATGTCATTTGGATATCTGAAAGTAACGGCCCATTATGCACGAATAGGGAAAAGTGATGTCATTGTACTAGTACGAATTTCAGATATCTAAATTGTTCATTTTAGATAGGAGGAATATAGTTAAAGGTATCTGAAATACATATTCGGTCAAGTTAATATGTTAAAACAGCCGCTAAAAATAAGTAAAGATCTGTAGATATGGGAAAAGTAGTTCTTACTAGTATAAATTTGATTCCAGAGTACTTAAAATGTAATTTTTACTGATAGAAAAGTAATTAGTGATACCTAAAATACAATTCTGACTAGAGATATTCTAATTGGGACTAGGTGGAATGCTTGAGTACTATCTGTCATAGAAATGTGACTAGTCAGCCTGCTTATTTTATGTTAAAACGGAGCATCATTATTCTTTTGCAAGTACCGTATTTTCACGACCATAAGGCGCACCGTACTAAAAGGCGCATTCTCAGTTATGAGTGCCATTTCCGTATTTAACACACACATAAGGCGCACCGGACTATAGGGCGCGGTACAGGTACATGTCCTCTACTACGTTTAAATACCTCTACTGCGTATTTAAAAATAGAGCGGGAGCAAAACTGAGTATGATTGTGCTTTATTCATGTATTTATTACAAAGTATTAATCAAACCCATCAAAGTCATCATCCTCTGTTTCTGAATTAAACAGCTGCGCTAAATCAGACATGCCAGTTTCCCCTTCTTCGCTGTCAGTCACTTCATTTTTCCAAATTGAATCAATAAAATATATATTGAAGGATCTTATTGTATTATAATTAAATATTTCCTGTCATCTTCTGTGTTCCTACAGGTCGTTGGTGTGGAGAGAAGAGGAACTGAGAGAAAAGGAGGACATGTTTTTATACTAAATCTTAGTCTACTCACACAGTCATGGTCCAGGAGTTCCCCTCGGTCTCCCTCGTGATTTTTTTTTTATTTTTTTAAGTCCTTTTTTCACCCGTCAGTAAGTGGACATGATGCTCCGGTGTGCACCAGATGTCGTCGTTATGGGAACCTGTTTGGATTTGGCTGGGTGGTCTCCACAGATTAGCGTTACCATGTTGAATGCTGGACCTTTGCAGCGTGCTTCAAAGCTGCAGCTAATCTCTCTCTCCAGATTCATAGAGGCGAGCAGATTAATGTCGTTACTACGAACAGATGGACTGATCATCACTTAATGCCCATTTCCCCCCCTTGAACCATCATGGAACGGTGAATCTTTTCCTGCCCTCCATCAGCCTCTGTGGGACTGACTTTCACCAGGGCTCCATTTGTTACTGGTCTCTCTGAAGCTGTGCAGTTTGACCTCGTTTCTGATACCACGTCTTAAGAATACTCTCCATGTTAGCCTTTCTTTCTTGATAATGTAATATTTTGCTACCGTATACGGATCATTAGTACTTTGGAATATCCAGATTTCAGACAGTGAAGAGTTTTGCCAGCATGCACTTGTGTTTCCCCCACTGTTTTAAAGGTGGTGTTTTTGTTTTGATCAGAAGGCTAAAGGGCAGCGTAGAGCCCTTTAAGTGACGGGGGGGGGTCGACTTTGTTTGGTGTACTGTTTACTTATATCTCAAATGTACTCATGGATGATTGGAATAGAAAATATTTTGTTTTACACATTGTTGGGTGAAGAGGCTCTTTATTCTAAGTCTTTTGGTCTGATTCATGTTGAATTTGAGGGATGCTGAAGCTATATTTTACTCTGTATTACTCCATACATCTAAATATCAGAGCTCAGCTGCTTCTATTTCATATTTTTCCACTTTAAATCAAGACTGCACCTATTTAATTATCTTATTTTAATATTAAAATACTCATTCCATTGGCAAATCATCTTATTTACCTGCTCAAATTAAGGGTAAATACACTTAATTTAACACATTTTTTACTAATTTTTAGATCACTTTTGCAGTGTGTGTATCTTTTGGCCAAAGCATTAGCATTTTGTTTACACAAGTGTAAAACAAAGAGAAATTTTGTTTGGCACAGCTCTCTGGACAATTTCATCTTTTCAAAAGTGCAGCCTTGACAAATAGTAAAAAAAATATATAAATAAATAAATATATATATATATATATATATATATATATATATAAACAAAACAGTAATATAAATATATGACTGTAAATTTACAGTTCTAACAATTTTTTTAATTATATTTATGTATATATATATATATAAAAATAAGGCTGCTCAGTGGAACAGGGGGTAGCACTGCTGCCTTGCTGCAAGAAGGTTCCTGGAGTCTTTCTGCATAGAGTTAACATGTTTTCCATGAGCATGCATGGGTTCTCTCCAGGTACTCTGGCTCCCTCTTACAGTCCAAAAACATGACTGAATTGGCTTCTCTAAATTCTCCTTAGATAGATAGATAGATAGATAGATAGATAGATAGATAGATAGATAGATAGATAGATAGATAGATAGATAGATAGATAGATAGATAGATAGATAGATAGATAGATAGATAGAGATATAGATAGATAGATAGATAGACACACACTCATTTTTAAATCAACAAAACAATTGATCTGACTAAAGCAGGGGTCCTCAACTCCAGGCCTAAAGTGCTGCAGCCCTGATTAAATGAATTACCACCTCAGTATGTCAACAGGTTCTGCCTGGTTATCATCCATTCATTGGATCCTGGTATCTAGCATGCAGGACTTGCATTCTGTGACACGGTGAGGATCCTGATTAAAACGCGCAGAGGAGGGAAACTCTAAACGGGTGTGTCTAATTCTAGCTCATTACTCTTTTATAACACTTCTCAAGCAAAACTGATATTCAGTTTTCTAAAATATTAGACGGAGATGTTAGTTTAATCAAGATTGTCTTCGTAGTTTTATAATTTTTGTGATTTGACAATCAGGTTTGTTCATTATGAACTAGAACTGTAATGAACTTTGGATTTAAATTGAACTTCTATTACTTCCTGGTAATTCGGGACCTTATTTGCTGGCATTTTAAACCAGATATATATTTTTTGACCGTTTTGTTAGAGTCGAATCTGGTGTAGCTAATTAAAATATGAATGCATTTCTAAACAAATCTATGGTTTTACAGCAGAGAACAGATGGGATATCTGCCAATGACCTCGCGCAGCTGGAAAGTCAAAGCTGGCTCGCGCGCTTCAGCTTCTGGGGCCCTCCCCATCAAGTTCCACCGAAAGGGGCGGGGCTTAGCCTGTAATTCTCTCCTGATTGGCTAGCCGCGCATTAGCGAAGGACGTGCAGCGGAGCTACAGAGAACCCACCGGAAAGACTCCAGCTCTCTTGTGGTCCCCTCGCCTCCATGTGTGCCACAAAGCAGAGAAGACAGACAAATTAAGGCGATCATTTTTTTAGAATCATCAGAAGAAGAGGATTGAGCATCTCTATTTTTACCCCCAGAGGGACAGTTGACATGGCGACATCGGGCTCGTGCGTTGTGGTGAGTTCCCTCTGGTGAAATAAGAGACGTTAGGCGGTAAGGGGTTCCGCTGTTAGAGCTCTGAAGAATAACACGCTGTACTGGGAAACTCTGAGTTCACCGAAGGTCCACCATAGCGTGTAATTCATGTCCTTTTTTTCCCCCCTTAACGCCTTTTAAAGCGTGGCCTGCGGCTGGAGACAGGCACGCGCTCTCCACGTTTAGCTAGGTGACGTATGGAGAGGCTTCTGCGTGAGCTCGTGAAACAAAATGAGTTTCTGCGTCGGACTGCAGCCTCAGCTATGTATTTACACAGTCACAGATTTATAGTAACTATTATAGGGATATGGCAGGCCATTTTGACATTTATTAGCTTGAATGAATATATATTTCAGATTTCTCAAATGCATTTCATCCTGGTCAAAATGAAAATTTCAGATATCTAATATAACATTCCTCCTATATAAAATAATCATTTCAGATAGCTGAAATTTTTATTCTTAATAGTACAAATGACGTCACGTTTCCCATTCATGTGTATTGATCTTTAACTTCCAGACATGTAAAATAACATTCCTCCTATCTAAAATAAACGTTCTTCTATTTAAATGAATTGTGACTAGAATTAACTTTAATTTCACATCTCCATAATAGACTTACTGCTAATCATAATTACTATTTTGAATATTAAAAAAGGATATAACATTACAGATATCTAGAAATACAATTCTTGACATCTAAAATATTTCTCCTAGTAAAAACATAATTACAGATATCAACTACTTATTTTATGACTACCGGTAGTCAAATTAGAATTACAGACATCTCAATTTGAAAAATGCCTATCTAAAATTTAGTTTCTACTGGTAGAAATGTAATTAGTTATATCTAAAATACAATTCTGACTAGTATTGTAATTGTGACTTGGTACGTCATTTGTACTAATAAGAATAACATTTCAGCTATCTGAAATGTATATTTTAGATAGGAGGAATGTTATTTTAGATATCTGAAATGTTCATTTTGACTATGAAGAAATGCATTTGAGACATCTGAAACATATATTCAGTCAAGCTATTAAATTTGATAAAAGGACCACTTAAAATTTGTAAAGATTTCTAGGTATTTAAAAGTTTGTTCTTACTAGTACAATTATATTTTTGGCAGCCTTAAATGTAATTTTTGGCATGCAAAAATGTAATTCGGATATCTACATGTACATTTCCGGCTAGTAGGAATGTAGTTTTGATGAGGAAGACTCCTATTTTAGACAGCGCTTCTAATAAATGTCAAAACAGCCTGCCGTAGTGGTAACAGTGCTACTTTTTAAAATAAGCTTCAATCTGTAACCTACTCCAGACAGTACTGTCTGACTGAAATCGTTTTTATTTAGATTATTCTAACTCCCTCTACTGTTTCTAAATGATATATTTCCAGGTTGATCAATATGTAGCACATTAATTTCTTTACAAACTCGAGATCCTATCAAACATGTACTTGATCATTCTGGATGCTGCATCAAGCCACAGACACAAGATATACAAGTATGCGCCCCTTCATTGCTGATAAACACCCCTAAAAAATCTCATATTCTCCAAAAAATAATCCAGAGATCCGAATCTGTTTATTTGACCATTATTGATTGATCTGCAGCTAAAATACAGCATATTGGGATATTTTTTAACCTTACCTTACCCTACCTCTTAGGTAGATAAAACAAAACTAATAGCTATTGTTTTATCTATCATATGCATACCTAAAATAGCAGCACATGATGTGATGCAATTAAAATAGATACTTTAATTAAATATGATAAATGCTGGGGACTTTTGGTCATTCATGTGGATGATTTTGTTATAACTTTAAATGTTGCCTACAAAACAACAACTGGAAGAGGCAGGTCAGACTTCAAAGAAACATTGCACTGTATAGGCTGTTGCTTTTAAATTTGACCAGCTTGGTGTTTGTAAGAGCAATGATAGAACAAAATGACATCAAAATTTGAATTAACTTTAAGTCTATTGGTCATATTTCCTTAAAACATTAATATCTTGTTGTTTTATATGTAATTCCAAGCAAATCTGTAGAGGAAACCCAGGAAAATGTAGGCAATTAGCCAGTCGTCTTGTAGCTTGTCAACCGCAGTTTTAATAAAGCATTACCTTCACGTGTGTGACGAATGAGACTCTTTAAGTTTCCAGATCATGCCTATCCAAAGTGGCTGGGAATGTCTCCACAATGCCACAGTTGTCTATTGGTAAACAAGGACATGCTATGTGCAGCAACAAGTTGGAGAGGGGCGGGTATTTGTAGCTGCAGGAAAGTTATCTCTCGGACAAGGGTTTTAACGGATAGTTGGAAACCAGAGCATATTAAATCCCTGGAATAACATGACAGCAGTAGCCTTTTTCCCTGAATAGCTGACACTCACTTGGTCTGCTATAGCTTCTTATTCTTAGTATTTTCTTTTTATTTTCATTATTTTATGATATGAATAGTAAAAATTTAAGAGGGTGCAGCCATTTAATCCATTGATGGCAGGATTTTTTTTTGACTAACAGATAAACTGTGCTGATGACCAGAAATGTCTTTGACACACATTCCTCTTTTTATTTTATTTTTTTATAAATAATTTCCAGTTTGAACCTGGGCCGCTCTGTGTTGGTAAAGAGAATTTTGTAATGTTTGTTTTACAGGCTGAGATGAACCCCATACTGGAATAAAAAGCAAACAAATGTTCAGGTCTGTTTTCCAAGAGGTGACCAGCACAGTCTAGATTATGATTACCCCTAAAAAGCAAACAGAAACACGGGTTAAAAAGCAGATGGGTTATAAGAGGTTTTTTCCTCCCCCCATCCAATGTAAAGTTTGAGTTTCTCAGTAAGAACTTCCTGAGACCCTTCCCTTTATTCCCTACATTATTGCTCAGGTCATGTGACCATCAGGACATCTGCTTGTTATCAGTCGTCATTAGCTGGAGCTGAACGGGTTTAACTCAAACATGTTTTGCAGCCTTTAGAGTTTTGCTGGCAGCATCTGGTTCGACACAGTGAGAGTTTTATCACCTAATATTCTCTGAAGACCCACTCCACTCTGCAGCTCTGTGGCACATCGTTCCCACGCTCACCTCTCACTGTCACATGACTCCCGTTATTCTGTCTGCGTTCCACGACATTCTAGTCGACCCAAACAGGACATTTCATTTATCC